CGCTGCCCAGGGAGGGGAGCTTTGCCTGGGAAGACACTGGTGTCCGTCTTGATTAGGATGTGATGCCTGATGTAAGTCATGTGACGAGTACAAACAAAATACCTTGGCAAAACCTTGAGGAACCAGGGCAGCCTGAGCTGCTTAAGGAGATTTGCTGTGTGTATTTCTGTCCTGTGCACTTGCCTTGCTCCGAACCTTTCCTGTCCCTGGAGCTCCAGCACGCACCATGGATTTTAAAGGTGCTCTTTTCTGTTCATTCCTCAAATAATCTGTGGACCTTCTCAGACTTGTTATAACAGTTAAGCCCCAGTAGCTTTACACTATCACAGTATCAAAATGCTATAAAGTTGTCTTCTGGGAGGTGCTGTTGGGGTTTGTGGAGCACAGGTCCCATCAGTTAGATTAGAAAATAATCCTGAAGAAATGGGAGAGCTAAAGACCTCCTAGGAGTGCAAGTATGCCAGCAGAGTTAGGAAGTGGCCTGTGTCTTGAAAGAGGGGTACAAAGAAACAGCTTCTGCTCCTCAGCTCCTGTTTGCTGCTCTGCCAGAAGCTCCCTGTTTGCTGCTGTCAACGCCTGTTCCCGCTGGAGCTGCTCAGAGGCAGAGCTGGCACCCAGATGTGGAGCCTCCACCAAGCATCTCAGCTTGGAGTTGGTCCTCTTCCTCCTGAGCCCTCATCTCCTTCTTCTCCCGTTCCCTTAGACTCAGCTACCTTCACGGTGGATTTCAGAGGTCTTTGACATGGTGCTGACTTCAGCCCCAAATGAATAATTCAGACATGCGTCAGAGCTGCAGAGGACACGCGGATCAACCGTGTCACTGCCCAGTGCCTGCAGTGTCACTGGGCTCTGCCTGAAGCAGCGGTTCCTGGAGGCAGCTTCTGAATCCCCCAGCGTCGCCTCCTCGCTGTCGTTCACCTTGGGATTTTACTTTACAACCCACAAACTGCTTTTGTCTAAGGTGTCTTGCAGCCATAGGGCTGGCAGGTGCTCTCAAACCTGACCCAGACCTTCTTAGATATCCCTGCTTGTCCAGCCTGCTCCCACATCTCTTCCCCAGTCCTGGTGCTTTGATGCAGCCCAGCCCACACTGCACCGTTCCTTGCCCAGACAGCACCCTGTGGACTGCAGCCTATTTCATTTCCAGCTCCTTCTCTAGCCTTTGTCCATGTTTTCCACACTCTGCAGCGCCGCTTCCCATTAGAAAGTCTCTCAGTTTTGCCTCCTTTATGTCAAACTCTCACTGCCCTTTCACCTAACGAGATGAAGAATTTGCAGAAACTGAAGATCAAAAGCAAGAACAAGAGGTTACCTTTGCAATAAGCAAAAATGAAATATAACCTCATCACCAAAGAGATGGTTACCTAAATTCTTCTTAAAAATCTGCATGGAAGGGAATTCCTCAGCCTTCCCGGCCAACCTCATCCATCTTAAACTGTCCTCATAGCTCCCAAATATTTTCTAATATCCACTTTTAATCTTCTTTTCAAGCTGAGCCAATTGTCCTATCCCCTTTAAGCACAAAGAACAGTTTAATCAATGCCCTCTTTAAAAGAGTCTAGTGTGTGTGGTGGATTTCTGTTGCATCCTTCCTCATCTTCTTGCTCAGATGGTGGGGAAATGGGTCCCTCTGTATCGCCCCACTCCGAGCTCCGCTCTTGGTGGTGGAGAAGGGAAGAGCAAGAGGCCACACTATGCCAATCTGGGGAAGAGGCTGGGAAAGGGCCCTTTCTCATAGGTTGCTGGAATGAGGACCTGGGAGCAAAGACAGAGCATGATGCAGACTGAGGAAAAGTCTTCAAAAAAAGGTGATTAGGAGGGCTTGGGGACGTGGAGTTCAGCCCACCTTTGAGAAGTCTCATTTTTCATGGCTGTTGTTTTCTGTCCTCTATTGCAATGTGTAGAGCGATGCTTCACGGAGAAAGACGATGGAAGGGGAGTGAAGGTGCTTTCAGATCACATGCAGAGCTTTCTCCCTTTTTTGCAGAGGCTCTAGTCTCTTTTATTGTTTTATGGTAATCGGGGTGTTTTTCTTCCTCCCTCCTTTCTTACAGTTATATCAGGTCACTATATTTACTCCCCAGACTCCAGTTTCTTTGGCCTGTCATTCATCCGCCCTTTCCTGTAGCCTGTTTCTCCTCTCTTCTCCTGCCTTCCATGCAGCCCTAGTCCTGCCCTGTCCTCTTTCAGACCCTGTGCTTAGGTGCTCTTCACTTTGTAGCCTATTTTCCAATCATAAATCTTGCTTAACAGGTTTCTTAGGTTAGCAAAGAAATCCCTGATGTGCTTTTGCAGCCATTCCTCTTTCATTATCACCGACTGTGCCTCTTCCCCCCAACTGGAGTCAACTCTAAATAATTCATTTTCTCTAGATATTATTACTACCCCCTGCAGACACACGCACACATCCTTGGAGGTTCGCAGCCCTTGGCTGTGTTCAGCTGGGGTAGATGCTCTCCCTGTCTGTGCCTAACTCCTTGCTCAAGCTGGTCCCCACCGCACAGGGCGATGGATGAGCGCTCTCCGATGCCGCAGATGCTGGTTGCTGCCTGACGCAGGGGCCAGCGGGGAGTTTTTACCCTCAGCCTCTCCAGAGGGAAGCAGGCGGGAGCATAACTGGAAGTCACTGCCGCCACGCTGGCATTGCCCCCAGGCTGCCTTGGGAGCCGTCGCTAATATCTTCCAGGTTTGCAGGCTCAGTATCGCAACACAAATATTGTGGACATTATTGAGATTCCAGCTCTGATTTGTTTATGCACAGGCCAAACTAAACTAAAAGCAAAACTCCTCGTCATGCCCAATTACCCAAAGCTCCTGGGTAAAGGAAGATCTCCAAGACACAACCTCTCCCTGAGCCTTACGTGAGGAGCGAGGGCAGGAGGAGGCCGCAGCCGCCCTGCTCCTCGCCGCACCTCTGCTCCTTGGAGCCTCCCTCCTGGCATGAATAACCCCAGTGTGTGCCTGGCCGGGGCAGAGCTTTGCCAGCGCCGCTCCTCTGCAGGAAGTGGACATGATTTTGATAGTGTCACTCCACCACGCACAAGACGCTGAATAGCTGCAAGAAAACTGAGCAGTTTTGTTAATCTCGCTGCTGGTTGGCAACCTCTCAGCAGCGGCCACAGAGGCACTACAGCTGTCTGTCTGCCCGCCCAGCAATACAATGCTGCATTATTTTATATTCAGCAGATCATCTTTCCAATCATAAGGCCTGGAATGTTTTATATGTTTACTTCTCCATGAGGAAAGCTTCCCACTGTCTGTAATCAACAGATTTTTTTTTAAGTCCCGCTGTCCTGTGTGTTGCAAAGATAAACGCCTTGGTATTTACAAAGCGCTTTGGGGTGCTAAAGTGGAAACACAAAATCTTGCATGTATGTTTTGGAAAGGGCCTCGGAATAAATAGTGTCATTCCCAATGATGCAAGTCCAACCACATCCTCCATCCAGAGCCTCCTGAAGACTCACTTTTTTCCTCAGAGGTTCACAAATGTTAACATTTAACATCAGTCCTGTTCGCCCCTCTCCAATATAGTTTGGGTGTAGAAAAAGAAAACGAAACAACTAGCAAAATGGAAAAAAAAAAAAAAAACCAACAAAAGTGAAGTTTTTAACACTGACGCCTCTTTCAGAGTTGTCTACTTTGTCTCATTAATAATATGCATTTAACGTGATAAAAATGCACTGGTAGCAAACCAATGGGTGTTATCATTTATTGTGTCCAACCCATCAACCAAACCAAGCGTGCCCTTCCCAGTGATCACCCGCGTGGGAAGCGCTGCTGCGCTGCCTCCGTGGGCCAAGGTGGAGCAAGGCGGCCCTGGTGAGCCGGGGCACGGGGAGGCATCGGCTGCGGCTCTCTGGTAGCCCCACCGCTGTCCAGACCTACCAGAATGCATGAGGAAGGGGACGGAGACAGGACCTCAGCCCTGCTGCTGTGGGTCACTGTTTATGTTCCTCTTCTCCCCCAGGCCAGCTCCGTCCCAGGACACCTCCACCCAAAACAGTGATTTCAGCCCTCAAGAATGACCCTGGAGGAGCAGCCTGGTGAAGCGGGTGGAAGCCACGGCTGGGAGCCGCCTCGCCAGGTTGCGGGTTGGCTCCAACAGCTGCCGTTCTGCCCTGTCTGTTCAGCAGAGCCATGAGGCACAAGGTGACTTCAACCTGCAGCCACAGGAGCAGTCAGGATGAGCGCAGCAGGACAGACCCTGCCTGGCTGCTCCAAGGGCACCGCGCACAGGGGTGTTTTGGGGAACATGTGGAGAACATGCCACAAGGAAGGGGGGAAGAGCCCCAAGGTGGGTGGTAGTGCCTGGAGAGCCACGTGCCACCTCAGCACGGGCAGCATTGGGTGCAGAGGGAGGCTGTGGCCAGGCGTGAGTCCCCTCTGACTCATGCTCCGCTCCCGAGCATGGCACGGCTGGGGTGAGGGGGCTAAAACGCTCCTGTGATCCACTTCGCGGCGGGTCACCAGCATTGTTTGTGGCCACGCAAGCTCCTCCAGCCGCAGCGCCCACGAGGCAGCACGTGCGGCCCTGCTCCGAAGGCCTCGGCACGTGGAGCACCTTGTGCCGGAGCCAGGGCGGCTGCAGCGCGGCCCGCGGCGCTCCGACAGCTCGCGGGAGGCTGCGGGCCGCCTGCGCCGGGCCCTGGAGCGCTCAGGCGCAGAGGAAGCCGCTCCATCGCACCCGGCCTGGGTGGCGAGCAGCATCGGGGGCTACCAGCAGGACCAGCTCCCCTGGGGCCCGAGCGCGCAGGGGCCCGAGCGCGCAGCCCTTTGTCCGCCAGCCCCAGGGCAGGTGCGGCCGCACAAAGCCGCGGCCGCCCCGCATCGCGCCGCGCCGGGCGCCCCTCGCAGCGCGGCCCCGTGGCGGCCCCGCGGCGGGCGGCGGGTTTTATGCGCGCGGCGGCCGGCGGGGTGGGAGGAGCCGGGCAGGTTGTGCCCGCCGGGCCCTCCTCCCTCGCGCGCTCCCCGCCCGGCGGAGAGGGGTCGGGGGAGGGGGCAGCATGGCCTGTCCGTCCGGCCCCTTTTGCAGCGCTCATCTGCCCCGGGAGTGCGGCGCGGCTCCTCGCACGGAGAAGAGCTCCGAATGGAGACGGACGCCAGCCAGCCCGGCCTCGCCTCCCCGGACTCCCCGCACGACCCCTGGTACCGGCGCGGCGGGCGGTGCCAGCGGGG